ACAAGTTCAGGCTCGCCATCAGTACGTGACTTGCTTGCAAAACTGTGCACTCATTGTACACTTCTTTTGCCAGCACAGAACCCAATAATATATCTGAAGTGAGCTGTCTTGAGATCAGGAGCAATGCAGGAAGTAGAGCAGTGAGCTCCAAGATCATTGCTTAGAGCTGGATCCTGCTGGTTCCAAACTGACAAATCCAGAGTGCCTTGGTTATCTGAACTGCAGTTTGGTACACAAGGTTCACAGCAGAACTAATCCACAGTTACATATCAGTTATGACACAGACAACTATGTGAATGCACTCAGGCAATTGATATTTTATTGTTTTAGTATGGAGCTAGGAGATTATACATATATCCAGGATTTTGCGGTTTTTGTTGCTCATTGCTGGGTCTTGGCACTTTTTTATTAACATGCGTAAACTCAGGGCTGTTCTGTTCAGGTAAAAGTAGTTGTATCTACCTGGAATTATGAATATTGTTTCCTAGACAACAGGGAAGTTCTGAGCAAGATTGAAGAAATATTCCCTTATCTTCCCATTTCACTGGACACACCAAGAAACTGAAAGCTTTATCAGCAATATATACCATCACACAGAAAATTAGTTTATTCTAGGGATCAGGAACATTCTGTCTACATTCAGACTTAAGTCTTGAACTTTTCTTCTGCTCGTTCCACTCTCAGCACTTTGTACAGTTAATAAAGGACAACTTTACTGCATAAAAAAAGCATTTGCCACGAAAAAAAAAAAAAATCCAAACAAAAACCTTGTTCTGTTGGGTGCAAGAAAGCTTTCTTAGTTGCTCTGTTTCATGCAGCGCTAGTTCTGTTGTGCGCTGAAAGAGGCTGTTCATGGATTTTGTGAACAGCCATACTTACAGTAAGTAGGCTAACAGGGAACTAAAAACCGAAGGACACTGATGGCTTTAAATGCAGTTGGGATGCCATCCTGGGTGTTCCTCCACCACATGGGCATAGCATTGCAACAGCTCCACCCATTTCCCTCAAGGAAAATTCAGTCCATATTGGTTGAGTTTGTCATCTGCCCCGTTAACAGAGTCAGTGTTTAAAACTCCAAGCTAAAGAGACAATAGAACATTAAAAAATAAAAAAATAGAAAACCAAGAACTTTTAGCCTCACTTGGTATCATTTTACATGAACTTTAGCTGTGACAGCATGAGTTAACATCCATCAATAAGCTTCTGCCATCAAAATAATTTGTCAAGTCTGTCCTCTGTTTGGGAAAAAGCAGTAAGATTACAGGTTTTAGATAGCTGCTACTCCCAGATAGGCTTCTTGTGTCATGCAAAAGTAATCAGCTACTACTCTGCTGAACACTTGATGCTACATTCCTCTTTAATTCCTTTCAAATCGGACATTTAGCATAGAAGTGAACAGCACATCAGCATTTACTAGCATTAACATAGTTCCCTAATCCACTGCTGGCTAGTGAAGCACTTACATACTTCATCATGTCTTCCCACATTAGATAGCAATCCTGTGACACAAATGAAAACAAACCCATATTTCTTTATCTGCACTCCTGTACTGCGCTGTTGGTTTCAGTTTAATATGCAAAGGAGACATGGAAGAGTTTGTATTGCTCTTGGCCCATTTCCTTGACTCTCCTGATTGCCTCTAGAAGAGCTGATTAGCAATTAAGACACAAAGTTCCTGTATCTCACTCCAATGTAGGACTAAGTAGAATTATCCAATTCACCACCACTGGTCCTCCTTGGGCTCCTACCCCTGCTAAGCAAAAGCCCTTCACTGCTCATAATTTATTTCCTTACTACTTATTAAAATGATACTAACTCCAACCCGTGTCAGGCTTTAGGAATCTGTTTTTATGGGGACAGTACTTAGTGACCACATAGCACTTAGCAGGGAAGCGCTGCTTCTTCACAAACATGCACTGGTCAGACTGACTCTGCCCACTTGACTAATGAATTGCCCACTCACTTATGCAGAAAATTGTCTTTTTGGATGTAGAAACATAGTCAAAGCCTTTCTTCATCCTCACTTGTATTTTTGAGATCCCGTAATAACTGTCCCTAATACTTTTATTTTGGTCTTGCTGCAATCATCTTTCAGTTTGCTGCTGTTGAGGGAAGAGCAAAACTTTGCCTTCTGTTTCTGGCTTCACAATACATGTGAAAGGGCCACACAAGAAAACAGACTTTCAACACCCTCATTTCCTCAGTATTATTTCAGCTCTTTTGCATTTAAGCAAAGAGTGACTTCAGAACCCAGGGAACTGGAGAGAAAGCCACTATACTTATGCTTTAGGGTAAGGCTCAGTACACCAGAAGTTTAACACAGGCCCTGTAGCCCACATTTTCTTTACAGTCTAATTTGATTTTACTAATGTGAACACTTAGCACCAGAAACTGGTTAAGAGGAAGGTATAATAGACTCAAGTGTGTATAGAGACATAGACACACAGTAATCTTCACTTTGCTCCTGCTCTTGAAAGTGATCCTATTGGTCAGCTTTCATAAATTGTGTTCCTTTTTTTTCCACCTTACCTTTCGGACAGATCCTAGAGCAGATTTAAAGGGGCAGAGAGGACTGCTAATTGCAGTGGATTAGCTCTGCACAAGACAGCATGCCATTTCTATATAAACAGGATCACATTCTGCTAATAGCTTATCACAGCATTCAGATTTAGAACACACAGGGCAAACACAAACAGGAACACTGCAGATTGTTAAAGATACTAAAATTATGCTGAGAAAGTATTGATGGTCAAAAGAATTCCCAACTTAAAAACCAATATAGGTATCAGATTTTTAAAGAATTAAAATACCTTCAATTGAGGAGAGTTGTGAACTTACACTTTCTAATTGAAGCCTTCCCTCTCCTAACTACTCTAAAACGTTATCTCCTGACCTGGATGAACAGGCAAATGGATTTTCTTGGTTTTCACTCCATGGGCACTAAGATTTTACCCATATATACAAAGCTTCTTAGCTGCCTGTAACATCAGAAGGCTGCTTGGTTTCCATAAGTTATTCGCATCATATATAATTTTATCCATAACATCCTTACAGTTACTGTTATCTGTCTTGCATTTAATCTTTCTTTATATAAGAACGAGCACTTCAGAATATGTCAGAAGCCTTCCTGTTGATCGTTACAAATCAACAGATGCGTAATGCCACCTTGTGACAGGAATTCAACAATACAGCAGCCATGCACTGCCACACAGGAATCTTCAAACTGCTCTCCACAGACCCTTAGGAGTATACCCTATTTCCAAAATCCATGATGCAGGCTTAAGGAAAGCAGGTTCACACATACACTACGTAGAAGTCTTTGTATCTGAAAATATTAAAAGGGTCTGTTTTATTTCCATGGATAAATATTTTGAAGTTCATAAGTGAAGGAGGGACTAGCAGAGAAGTTTTCTAAGTATATACTGTAGATACAAACACCAACAATGATATCTGACAGGTGCATGGCTTACGTTTAGTATGTTATGCATGCATCTGGAAAATACACTTGAAGCTGTAAGAGTCACTTTTAAGCCTCTGATGATTTTTCCTTTTGAGGAAAGGGGCTTTTAAAAAGTGCTAACACACTATTTGAAGTGATAACAGTTCTTTAGAACTGCTACTGCTTTAATAAGCAATTCAAGTGAAGCAGAAGATTTGATTTTTTTTCACAGAAAATATTACTACAAATACGTAGTAGCAGCAGTTTTTAATTTACCAAAAACTGGCATCTATTAGCAACAGAACATACACAAAAAAATCTTTGTTTATACACATAAAATTAGGTTCTGAATATTCACAAAGTAACATAACAGCAACATTTTTCTTCACATTGATACTCAAAGTTAATCAGATCAGTCGTGATATAAAAACCCTGTATAACATTCAGTCAAGCACCATGGCAGACAGTGCATTAAGATCTCTCATGAATGGATGATCAGCTAGTATTTGATCAATCTTCTGTCTTTGCTCGTAATCAGGAAAAATTTTTATCAGGGCTTCTCTTAGTTGTACTGTTTCTGAGGCAGATCTCTGTGGTGGAATTGATAGACAAGCCTCTATGTTTGTTTCCAGTGGAAGCCATGTTGATGGACGATCACCATGTACTCTGTTTTTAGGCTGTACTGGTTGGTTTGGGACTGGCAGGAAGAAAGGTGTCTCGGTAGAATATTGTCCGCTGCTCTGTAAAGCCTTTTGTGGTGACCAAAAACCTCTATGGAACAAAATAAAAATTTTGATTAAATTAAGGTAAGAGAGATGCTAGCTGTCTCTGTACAAACACAGAAAAGAAAAATGTGTATAAGTCCTATACTTCACTGCTGCTCAGACAGTTACTGATTGGGATAAAATCACAAGCATTTTTTCAAAGTGAAAAAAAAAACCAAACCACTAGGTGTAACAGTTTTCAATTTGAATCTGGCACGACTAACAACATTAATGTTACCTAGGACTAGTTCCAAAACACTGTGAGTACTTTATTTGACAGAATACAGCAACAGTCAAAGCTTATTTTAGGGAAGTATCAACAGCAATATTATTGAGCTAAATGGATAAAAAGGTACATTGAACACATGTACACTGACTCAGAACATGTGAAAACAGTGACAGGCCAAAGGGGCTTCCGGATGCTCCACAAGACTATTCCTCATCTACTTTTTTTCCTTATGACTGTGAGCTGTGCTCACATTTAGATCAAGGCCTTGTTTTCCCCGTATATCCTTAATGGGGCAATGAAGTTTTTCAGCAGTTTCAGGATCCGAGTATTCCTTAATTATTGAGATTTAATTTCAGACTTTGAAAAGTTGTTGCTACTCTAAACTGCTAGCACTTGAAAATTTAGGGCCAAGACCACTTCAGATGCCACCAGATAACACAGAAATGTGAACTAGAACTCACGTTACAGTCTAGTTTCCTACCACCAAGGGAAACAGTATCTAAATTACAGAGCTCTATTTTGAAAGCATATAGGTTACGACACCTCCCATTACTCAACATGGAAAGACTCTCTAATTGCTCGAGATCCTTCTAGTTTCTCATCTTATTCCTGGTGCCATTTATGCTTTCTGTAACATTTAACTCAAGTAGAAAAGTCTCAGGGAAGGAACAAAATCAACTCTTTACACTGACACCTTTTTCTGTCTCAAAAAACCCCACCATATACCCCCCAAAACCAAAGCCTAGTTCCAGTTCCAAGTTTACAGATAGGAAACCAAGCTCTTTGAGAGTCTACAATCACAGTCACCTCTCAGAACACACTCTGTTTTCATTTTATTTTTCCTCAAAGGCAGCTAAAAGAGTGTTCCAAATGACATCTTGTAAGGGTTTTATTTTAGAGCTTGAATACTTTTTTAGCATTTCCTACTGGAGTTCTAGAACTGCACATGCTTTTTTCATGTCAACATTACATTCTTATTTTCAAATCAACCTGTGACCTACTGGTACACACATCTCACTTTCCTCAATTGTTTCCAATAGTTGAGATTCTGGCTTACTCTTTGTATTAATCCTTAAATTAAAGCTTGTCCTTTGTATTGCTGATTTTTAAGCACCTCACTTGTTTCTAAAAGCTCTCTCAGTACTCCTCACTACATTAGCATTTTTAAATCCTAAACTGGTGAAAGAATAGCAGAGAGCAGATTCTTTTCTTTGTGCAAAAGAGCAAATCCATTCTCAAATCTTGGCAGTTACTGCAAAGCAAATTCATACTTTGAATATATGCACATTTTAAAAGTAAAATGATCTTAAATGAATATGTTTATTAATACTTAAAATTATATATAAAATACAAATGCATTTAATAACAATGCCTCTCAAAAATAATTTTATTAACAGCATAGTACCCTCAAGTGTAAAGTGAAATGCCTCTCCCGTGACCAAGAATATGAGTGCAGAGTGGTTTTTGAAGCACCTATTGTCCCACTATGAATAAGTAAGTGATGAACCATGGTGTTTTTAATAACACCAGGGTAAGTAACAGTATACCAGGCTATCACATACCCAAACCACTGGCAGGTTTGTGTGAGGTTAAACACAGTGGGGACCACCTTTGTATGAAAGCCACCACCATCAAATCTCAGAGGAAGTTATTGTCTTATCTTAGTTCTGAGAGAGATCTTCATTAGATGCAAATGTCACCAGCAGTTTCTGAACAGACTGAAGTAACAGGAAAAACATGTTTTTGTTAAGCTACTACATCCTACAGTGTTCTTGCTTAATTTTACTGTACATTTACTATATAGACCTAAAAACGTGTTCAAGTGAACCAGGCACACAGTGCATTTAAAATGTGAAATCGTAACTGTTTCAAACAAAAGTGAAAACAGTACTTCTACCTAGAACTGCCTTCACTTCGAAGGAAGTCATCTAATCTGGGTCCATTTCTTCCCAAAGGATCATCAGGAACCATAAATATGTCACCAGCAAAAGTGTACTGGAGCAACCTGCAAAAGAGTTCTTTCAATATTATTTACTATTACACCCTCACAGCCCATTTTTGCAAAGATACCAGAGTGGAATTTTCTAGGTTATTAGAGAAGATTTTCTGGTTGTTCAAACTCCCCTTCCATGTAAGGATCTTCAACCACGTAGCTAAAATGCATATGTTATCAGAAAGCCACACAACTAGCAAACATAGCATTAGCTGTTCACAGTTAAGAGACAAAGCAGCTTTCTTTCTGAAATAATTTTGGGACGGGGAAATCTACATTGAAGGAAGGCAGTTCAACTTAAATTTGTCTGCAAGGAGAGAATTTGGTATAGTGGAGTTTCCCCAGGAGTAAAACCAATAACAGATGTTAACACAAGCTCTTAAAAAACTACAAATTGAAAATGACATGCTAAATATTCTTGCTAAAGTTTTGTAGGAGAATGGAATCTGACTTGGGTAGAATTCACTCAAGAAATAGCATAAATACCTACATGATCAGCCAATATCAATTCCATGTTCTCTCAGCTATATTGTGAGAACAAACCCAGGACAGTTTTCAATTGTTTTTTTCATTAGACCTTTATGGATTGCAGTTACTGCAGTAGATGTACCCTCAGAAGATGTCAGGGAGATTCTGAGGGATTAGTGGGAAATTCAGGCAACAGATGATGATACCTTAATAGTAAAATGACCTAATTTAACTGGAGGGGGAAAAAACACAACAAAAAAACCAAACGGACAACAACAACGAAACCAATTGCACAGGAGAAACTATCAGGGATAGAGAATCCATAAGCTAAAGCAGAGATATTTGATAGATAAGTGAACTCATCTAAACCCAAAGGACACTCAACAATTGCAGGGAAATGGCTACAGGGATATGTTGCAAGTGTTCATTATTTTGTTTAGCTATGCCGATTTCTTGTACTACAGTAAAAAGTAATTGATTTGGAAACCTTACAAATTAGACTGTATGTCTGCACCAGCTATCGCGTCGCCTTGAAGAAATGAAATGTAAACCAAGAAAGCCTGTGAGAGAGGACCACAAAGCGTATACTCTAACAGGATCTAACACCAAGCTCCTATTTATGTGAGCAATTAACAGACGTACATTAGAGAATATACAAATAACAGGTACATTAGACTACTCAACACTCAATTATAAGGCCATGACTCAAAGTGGTGAAACACACACTGTACTTTGTTGGGCTCTACCAGAATCGCACAACCGATTAATTAATATATGAAAAGTCACTCATGAAGATACAGTGCCTACAACTCCAAGGACAGGCATCCTTTTAAGCTTTCATAGAAACTGAGTAATTACCTTTTTTGAATAATTTCTCTCCAGGCAAGTGATTCTGTCACAAATTCTCTGAAGTTATCATTAGTCACAATAATACCTCCAGTTTTATCAGCAAGGTGTAATAAAAACCTGCAAAATTTGTTTCAAAGACTGTTAAGATAGTCTGCTTTGCTGAAAATTGTCCAAATATACAGAAAATTAAACATTTCACCATCCAAGAGTAATCTATCTGCATGAAAACAGGCACTTTGATTACCAGGAAATTACTCTGTTTTGACCCACCATGTAACTTTAAACAGTGTTTTAGGTAGCATAGATTCATTCGGTGCAACAAAGTCTTCCTAGCAGGCT